CTTCTAAACGCAAACGTGCATAAACGCGGTATGCAAACGCGGCTAAACTGACGTTTTTTTAACCTACGTTTTCCAGCAGTCAGTTTCCATCGTTCAGAAGAGTTTTCCAAATGCCTTGTGTACATGAGCCCTTATATTTGCTTTTCTATTTGATGGCAAGGTCCTTTGAAATAGCAAGTACATTTGCAGCAAATCGTTCTACGGTTTGAAGAAAATGGAACCTTTTGCCTGACCTGACGGTGAGGTGGGGGTTATACATAATCTGGTGGCTACAGCAATCAGGATTCTGTATAAAACTGATAGGCAGACTCCTGTCAGGTAGCAGTCGGGCGACTGCGCTGTCGCTTGATTGCTTCTACAGCCCCTGATACCGGCCCCCGGGGGGCCAGAGGAGACATGCAGGGTCTTTTAGATCTTGCATGTCTCAATAAAGAGAACCGGTCACCTAAAAATCATCAAATAGGGGAATTTGTGTCCCCTATGTGATAAGCAAAAAATTATTTTTGAAAAACCAGTTATACCGAAGCACATAACATCCTACGCCCCCCCCCCCCCCCCAAAAAAAAAGAAAATTTGAGACCCCCTCTACATATATGCACTATGAACACAAATGCACACGTCAGGGTACCTATGCGTGAAAACATCCATTGCGATACACATGTTGCATATCTCTGCGCATACCAAAATGAGAGCAATAATTCTAGCACAAGTCCTCCTCTGAAACACTAAACCGATGACCTATATGGGCTTTTGGAGCATCTCCTATAGAATATATAGGGTACTGAAGTTTGTTGCCATTTCATAGGTGCACACAAATTTAAGGTTTGGCATGTTTGGTATCTACTCGGTGCAACCTTGTCTTTTATAGTGTACCAAAAATTAGGGTAATTTATTCCATTTTCTTTGCCCTAAAATGCACTTTAGTGTGTTTTGCACTGCAACCTTTGCGGTAATATCGCGAGACATAAAAAATTTTAACTATCACTTCTTTATTATCTTCGGTGTCTGCTTTCAGAAAATATTTAATATTTTGGAGGTTTTGTGTAAAATCACTTTTGAATTGTATGGTAGCTAATCTCTAAAGTGCCTTGAGAAAGGAAAAGCGATGCATGTCTGTTCAATTCACAAATGACCAAAGTGTATTTACCTTCCCTTGTGTGAATGTTGGAAATACTATTGTATGATTTCAATGTATTTTTTTTTTTTCGTATGCTACAAGGCTTGGCCTAACATGCATTCACTACATAAATACAAGAAGTATATTTAAAAAAAAAAGCAACTATTGGAGAGAAACTTATAAGAGGGTCTAACTATAAGCCATGTGTTTTGTGAGTATGCACTACTTGCAATAAAGCTTGCTGGAGATCAGGATAAAAACTTTTTTTTTTTTACTCTTCGCTTTGGTTGCTTAAGCAGGAATAGTAGGATTATTTTCTTTCATTCAACCAGTGGGTTGAACGACAGAAAATTAATCCATTCCCCCATCCAAACATTTAAGGGATGTGGAGGAATCCCTTCAGCAGGGCTATGGTATTTGAACACTGGAGAGGCTCCCCCTTTTCGTCAGAATGCACTGACCTGCACCACTGGCTATAGCTGGCGGCACTGATTGAGTGAAAAATTTCCAACAGGATGGTTGTACAGAAGTCAATGGAGAGTTTGACTTCTGCACAACCAGCCTGACCATAGATAGATCAAACTTTGGCCAGGCCCTACGGAACCAGCTGAATTTCAATCCATCTGTGGCTGGCTTTAGTTTTTAACATGCCACTTTTATTTAAAAAATGTGATATCAAAAACTACTGCACTTGTCTAAAAAGTAAAAAATGTGTAAAATATCACAGTACTGCTCCAAAACAAAGATGTATTTTGGTTCTTCTCTAAATGAATCAAGCAGAAATTATGCCATCTTTAAAGCAATGCTAAATACATGTGTTTCCTTGGCAATTTTATCTACTACATGAAGTGCCAGTTTTTATTAAACAAGAGCCCTAGGTGGTGAATGCTGTACCAGCTGCTTAATGCAATTTCACATGCTCCATTGCCACACTTTTGGTGCTTTCTTGGTGCCAGCTAGATCACTAATTGTTCACTGTCAGCTAAAATAATTCAAGCTATTACTATTGAGCACAGCAATCATCCCCTCCCTAAATTGCCTTCTGCTTCCTTCAGAAGTGGAAAGGACTAGTTGTTCTGTTTCTTTCAGATTCAATCAGCATATTAGCTAGCCTTCATACAGTTGTTGACAGATATATATAGTCCATATTATAGACCACATTTAAGGTGAGGAACTTGTGCTTAACATAAATGTCTGAAATTTACTACCTCCTTTGACTGACTGCTCTCCCTGTAATGAGAACTCCGCTTATGATATCATATATGTTTTAACCTAATATTGTAATATTACACCGTCTGTAGCTGAAAAGACAGCATGGCGTAGCAGATATGTCATCTAAGATTTTAAATTTAGGATTTGTTTCTTTGCATTGTCCTTATGATAATTAAAGCACAATGTAGAATTGTATCATTGATACACCTTGTTTGATGGGATTTGTTTTTTGTTAGGAATTTCTAGCAAATCCGATTTTGTAAAGTAGCTATATGGATGTTTAAATAAACCATAATTAAACAAAAGTAAATAAACTTTATATAAACATGTCACACTGTATATAAATTGAAAACATTACTTTTTACCAAAATGCATGTAGTAAAATTACCAGTCAACTTTTACTGTCACAGTCCATGGCAGCTGTCATATTAACTTTTATTGCATATATGTGCAAAAGACAATTGTTATAGTTACTCATCAAAGTGAAAAGTCCAGATAAGGCACAGCAAGCTGTTGTTTTTTTCTGCAAACCCTATTTAGGGGTTTAATATCTGTCATTTTGGTACCCAAATAAATGTTTGCATTTACAAAGCAGGGACGTAGATGAGGTGTGTGTAAATGTGTTACAGCATATTTCCTGCTAGTATTGTGCACTTGAATTAAAATTTTTTTAATTCTGTTATTTGCGTGGGATTCTGCAGACATTTCAGGCTCCTATTGACAGAAATGTCTAATTCTGATACCTGCATCACAGGGGGAAAAAAAAGATATTTACAAGGTCACAAGGAAAGATTGTCATAATTAATTCCATTCACTGATGCCCTAGTCCTCTGCCTGCACTACCAAATGCCTATAATTGTTTCCCCAAGTTATTAGAGAATGTATTGAAGCAGTGTGCATTCAGACGAAAGCTACTGATCAAAATCTTTCCATTTCATCAAGAATTATAAGCATGCTGCATGTATGCTATCATATAGACAAGGGTATCCAGTCCTATCTTTTTTTTTTTTTTTTTTTTTCCTTTAAGTAGTGCTGTAGATCTGGTAAAGGTCAAAGGTAATCCTGTTGCTTTTTTTTTCTTCACATTACGAAGGAGTTAAAGAATGTGATTATGTTGGAATATATTAGGCTACATATGTGCGGGTAAAAACTAAAGCACTTAAAAATACATGTACATATAACATTCAGCTGTCAATACCACAATACATTATTGAATTGCCAAGATGTGGCTAGAAGTTAAAGGATAGCTTCACTTTTGTGGAAAATGAAATGGCAGATAATACAAAATATAGCGTATTCACTTGCTTCACAAGCCATATTGTAATTGGTATTAAAAAGTAACTTTACTTTTCAATCTGTAGCGCTGTAATGTTTGGTAAAATTCAATGCAGTGCACCATTGGTGTACAGAACACCCCCACAAATGTAATTTCCTGCTTGTATGATTGGTTCATTGATTTTTCCCAGAAGTCTGCTCAAAGTCAGATTTTAGGCATCCTGTACAACAGAAATGTCATTTTTGGTCAGATACTCCCAAAGGGTTAATCACTTCTAAATTTTTATTATTTGAAAAATAATTAGCATGTCATACTTATCTGCTTTGTGCAGTGGTTCAAAGCAGCCCCAATCCTCCTCTTTTCGGGTTCCCCTCTGGCGCTCCTGACCCCTCCTTCATGCTGAGTTTACCCAGAGTAAGCAGAGTAAGCTGCTTGCTATGGGTGCACGCACTCATGCATGCTCGCTTCCAAGCCAGCTCTGAATGTCCATTGACATGCAGAGTGCTGCTCAGCCCTGTTCCCCTCTCTCTCCTTACTGGCTGTGAATGCCAGTAGCAGGAGTCAATGACTCCCTCTGCTGCCTCCCTGTCCAATGAGGAGAGAGAGCCGAGTGAGCTGCTGCTCTCATGTACATTGCTAGATCAAGATTGGGCTCAGGTAAGTATTTAGGGGGGCTGGGGGCTGCATAAGATGCATAAAAAAAAAACCTGCCTTTACAACCATTTTAAGGACTGGTTGTGATCATGTGACCATATATTTTTAATTGGAAACCGCAATAATGGAGGTTCCTGCACTCTAGAAATTTGTGTTTGAGAATCACTAAATAAAGTACCCAACTCGCAGGCTCTTGTTTTAAAATCATCAATAGAGAGAAGAATATAATCTAGCCACCAGCACATGGCATTAAATGAGTGGTAAATGTAGAGCATTGTAACTTCTCATGTAAACAGCTGTCACAAAATGGGACCTGCTCAGAATGCAGCGTCCAAGCTGATGGAAAGCACTCTCTGGATGATTTTATTCCAGATACTGTGAGTTGGATACATTGTTTTTTTCAGTAGTGTTCCTCATAAACCTATTTTTTATGACCTTCTGGGGAATGTTGGCTCTCAGGAAATTGAATCTGCTACTTGTGTCTCTACTGTGCCACTCTTAAGTGCTGCATTAAAGACTAAAGATTTTGCACCAGATATTTTTTGCCTTTTATTTATGAACAGTATTATGCAGTGTTTTGTTTTGTTTTTTTTTGTTGTTGACCCATGTTCTGATATACAATACAAATGTCTTCATGTGTGTTTTGAATTTTATTGTGACTTTTTTAAAACATTTTATTTTTCTTAGGTGTATTTTGTTTTTTAAACTAAAAGCATTTGTGCTTTAAACATATTTTTACAGGCCAACAATAAACCAGAAATTGAGGCAGCCCTGTTTCTGGACTGGATGAGGTTGGAGCCACAGTCGATGGTTTGGCTACCGGTGCTTCATAGAGTTGCTGCTGCTGAAACTGCCAAACATCAAGCCAAGTGTAATATCTGTAAGGAATGTCCCATTATTGGTTTCAGGTAAGATATAGTTATGCAGCTACATATTTAGTCACGTCAGTCATATTTGTGAAGAATATCAGACTAGCCCTGGGTACAGTCCTTACCAGAAGTTCCTTTTCTAAAGTGCTTCTTTAGTCTAATCACTACTAGTGTACTGTATAAAAAATCCACCACAGAGACCATTATTCTTCATAGGCAATATTATCTCTGACTGCCAAACCCAATATATTACAGAGGTCCTGAGATTTGTGAACAGGTCAACCAAATGTCAGAGAGAAGTAATTTTTATTGTTATCACCTTAATATGGAATGAACATACACTATGTCCGGAACTTAGATTACATATACACTACATGTGCAGTTGAACTTAATGTGAGTGTGGCCCCTTGTCTTCCCTCCTTACTATTGTACGCATCATGCCTAATTTGATAATCCCTCTAAATGTTCTTATTCAGTGTTTACACTTCAGTGCTATATTTTTAATTTGGACAGGCTGTTAGAAACCACTAATCTTGCTTCCTTTTTTTACCCTGTTACGGACAATTCAGAAAAAACATTTCCTTATAGTTCATCCCCCTTGCCATCCATCAAAGTGAATATACTTGAAGCTCTGCCAGAGCCCTGAAAATAGCAAATATAGTTTTTTTTTTTAGTGGAATGGTGCACACTAATTATGCTAGTAATCTGCCTGCTTGAATAATATAGTTGATGGACATCCCTTTGTACTTGGTATTAAAATATAAAAGTATATATAGCAAATTGGTTGTGGTTAAAGCTGAGCTGTGGGCAAATCATTTTAGAAAGGCGTTGTATAGGACATGCAAAATCATAGCTGAATTCAGATCTGCGTAGTCCATCTATAGCTGCAATCAAGTAGTACAGTTAGAAAGTTACTAATTTTGATGCCTCCGTGTGCATTAATTCCTGGTGGTTGTACTGCAACTAGCTGAATTAACTTTTAGGAATGGTTGAAAGTTTTTAATCCATCAGCAATAGCTTTGAGGAGTGCAGGGTTCCAGAGGCTGTATGAAAAAAAAAATTTAGGAGCATCCTTGAAACTTACTGGAGCAGAATCTCAGAAAAATTGCAGCATTTTATGGTGTTCTAGAGACCATACATCTCTAGGACTTTCAAAGGCTTGCTTTTACAACTCTTCTACAAACATTTTCAATCTGCAGTGAGTGAAAGGGGTTTTATGACACTAAAGGAAAAACAACACATACCATGGTATCCTTCCCCCACTCCCCTTGTTTGAACTCCAAAACATTCATGAACTTTACTGATCTAATGCATGCAGAGGTGTAATCATGAGAAAATTGGTTTCCTAAGGGCACCTGCATGATCAGGGAATGACCTAGTTAGCCAGGAGGGAAGCCCTACCATAGCTTAGCTCTACATAAAAGCTTTTGATGGAGTCACTACTACCAAGGGTAAAGCTCACCTTGCGCACACATTTTAGGATCAGAAGGGCATTTATTAGCTTTGTGACACATTAGAAAGCCCACTTGTTGAGAAGTATTTTTCCTAGAGTTCATTTCAATGCGTTTGCATGGCAGTATATGGTGCCTTTGGTTCAGTGCCTACCAGTGACACTACATAAGACCATGTGTGCATGTGTGGATTTGCTCACATTTTAAAACATATTAGCTTGCTGGCTTCAAACAAACCTATCCACACTTCTAAAACTATACAATGGATATTAAATTATATGGTTCTTTGTCCACAGGTTCTGTTGTGAATTGTTCAGAGTTTTGCAAAACGCTATTGAATATGGTGGCATCATACAACTCCTAAATATAATTGTAATATAATGATAAATTGCCCCATTTAAAGAATATTATATAATTATGTTAAATAAACATTTAGATATATTTTTGTCCTGTTGATAGCATCATTGGGTAATTCAGCACAATAAGTTTCTGAAAGAATATACACACAAAATCAAAGTTAGCTTGCCAGCACCAAAGATTCAGCCGTACAGTTTGCAAATATCTCAGTAGAATTCATACAAAATACATTTATCCAATAGACTGTGAAATGATTACTACCCCTGAGAGAAAATTGCAGTTTTATTCACTCAGAGTATTTTACAGACAAAAACCATTGTGAGCACCTCTGCTGTGTTAAAATACTAAATAGAATTGTTCTCTGCAGACGAGTATGAAATGCTCCATAAAGTAGAATGGTTGAAAAGGGCTTTTCAGCCACAGGTAGTAAATTTTACTAGGTGATGTACAATGATTTTACAAGTACAGTTCCTCTAGAGGGTTCATTGTTTATATTTGCTTGACTGACAGCTAGTAGCGATATCTTTAGATAGGAAAGCAAAATGTAGAAAGGTACTTCTAATTGATGCCATGATGTGTCTTGCAGCCTTAATAATATATGTTCCTTATAATGCCAATATGTGCATGTTCTTACCTCAAGTTGCCCTTGGCATGTGTCTTGAGTACCTCTTATATATATAGTTTTCTAAACAGTCTGTTGTGGTTTTTAAATAAATTTACCCAGAACTAGATCACACCTCTAATATTAAACTATACTCGAGGTACTACCCAACATGGTACTAAGCGGACTCGCTAATAAAGAGAGCTAAAGGAGTAGCGATCAGGTTCTCAAAAAATGTGGGTTTTTTATGTGGAGGAGAGATTGGTGGACCCTGAGGGCCGGTTCCTATGCTTAAGAGGGAAAATAAGGGGACAAACCTACACCTTTTGTCAATATTTATGGCCCGAATCAAAATCCAGAATATTTCTGTATGGAGTGTTGGGGAACATTATGGAGTTTAAGAGGGGGATATTGATCTTGGCAGGAGACTTTTTAATTTCTGCCTTGACCCATGAATGGATGCGTCATCGAATGTGCAGAAAAGAGGAGGTAAAAAATGAAGAATTCCAGTTAATGGATACATGAAGTGTGAAACATCATAGAAAAAGAGATTATACCTTCTTCTCTCTAGCGCATAGATCATATTCAAGGATTATATAATGATTGTGCATAGACAATTGGACTCATTGGTATATATATATGTCTTAGGAGAGGGAATGGGAATAAGAGCAGAATCATTGCAAGCGTATATAACAATTATTTTAAAAGAAGGAAAAGATGGCTCACAATGTGCTAGTTAGAGACCTATATCACTTCTACATACAGATACAAAACTGTTTGCGAAGGTGCTCGCTACAAGGTTAAAAGAGCTGATGCCTGAATGTATACTCTTAGATCAAGTGGGCTTTGTCCCAGGAACGGAAGGGAGGGATAATGGTTTAAGAACATTGCTTCTCTTGCAGAAGGCAAAAAGAGAGAAATTACCAACAATTATTTTGTTGATCGACGCTGAAAAAGCTTTTGACAGGGTAGACTTGGGGGTTCATGAGAGATACTCTAGAGGCATGGGAAATAGGTACTAGAATGATGGGCTGGATAAAAGAGCTCTATAATGGCCCGACAGTGGCAGTTAAGGTAAATGGGTCTCTCTCTGAGCCTTTTAGGATGTCCAATGGTACGAGGCAGGGATGTCCCTTATCCCCGTTTTATTTGTTTTATCCTTGGAACCTTTGCTGGCGACGGTAAGAAATAGTGTAGATATTTGAGGAATCAAGATAGGTGAGATAGAGCATAAGGTAGCGGCATATGCTGATGATATACTGTTTTTTATTGTGAACCCACTATTAACGTTACCTAACTTAATGAGGTTATTAATTTCTATGCCGACCACACACAAATCTATCTCTCTACCCCTCACCTCACCCCCTCAGTCTCCAATCGCATCACTAGCCTACTAAGTGACATATCGGACTGGATGTCACTCCACTTCCTCAAACTCAACCTTTCTAAAACTGAGCTTCTAGTATTCCTCCCTTGCCCCCCCCGACTTCTTCATCAAGATCAACAACACTACTATCAGCGCCACTCCTCACGCCAGGGTACTAGATGTAATCCTAGACTCCAATCTGTCCTTTCAGCCCCAGGTCCAATCACTGACAAACTCATGTAGACTTCAGCTCTGCAAGATCTCCAAGATACGACTGTTCCTAACCTCAGAAACCACTAAGCAACTCATTCACTCCCTTATTATATCACGCCTTGACTACTGTAACTCCCTCCTCACTGGCCTACCTCACCGCAGGCTATCCCCACTACAGTCCATCATGAATGCTGCTGCCAGGCTCATTCATCTTACTAACCACTCTATATCTGCCACCCCTCTCTGCCAATCCCTCCACTGGCTTCCAATTGCCCAAGGGATAAAATTCAAAACACTAACACTGACGTATAAAGACGTTCATAACACTGCCCCTAATTACATCACCGACCTTTTCTCTAAATACTACCCAAACCGTACTCTCCACTGCTGGCAAGACCTCCTACTCTCTAGATCCCTTGTCTCCTCCTCCCATGCTTGTCTCCAGGATTTCTCAAGGGCTTCACCCATCCTCTGGAATTCCCTACCCCAAGCTATCAGGCTAACGCCTACTCTGCTCACCTTTAGGCGCACTTTGAAAACCCATCTCTTCACGGAAGCCTACCCCGCCCCCAGCTAATACTGGAATCCACTACTCCTCCTACCACTCCATCCCCCACAGCAAATTACCTCTTGTACCACTATCCCCTCCCTCCTAGATTGTAAGCTTCAAGGAGCAGGGCCATCTAATCCCTCTTGCATTGAACTGTATTGTTACTGTACTGTCTCCCTCCATAATGTAAAGTGCTGAGCAAACTGTTGGCGCTATATAAGTCCTGTATTATTATTATTATTATAATAAGTAAGAGTACAGAGAGCTTTCAAATTTGAAAATGAACCCCATAAAATCAGATCTTGAATATTAATTCTAAGGAGATGCAGACTTTACAAAAGGACTTTCCATTCTCATGAAGGAAAGGATTTTGGCTATCTAGGAGTAAAATTGACCACTTCTTTAAAAAAATATATGTATCGGGTGAACTATATCCCATTGATAAAAGTTGAGAAGACTTTTAAAGGGAAGGGTCTCTTGGATCGGGCGTATAACTTTGGTTAGGATGGTAATAGTCCCACAAATCCTATATAAATGTCATAATGCTCCCAGTCCACATTCCAAAATCCTTATTTGTGATATTAAAAAGATTAATACTTAAGTATATATGGGCTAATAAGAATCCGAGAATTAGGTATGAACTTCTGTGTAATAAGAAAGATAAAGGAGGATTAAATTTGCCTGATATTGAGAATTATTACACTGCGGCGATACTGTCACAAATTGTAGACTGGACACACAACTCACAGGGGAAGAGTTGGGTGAAAATAGAAGGCACTTTAAGTAACACACGATTAGAGAGAATTATTTGAATACCCCAAAAGTTTTGTATTATGGAGGAGACTAGTAATACACTTACACAGGTGGTGTTAAGAGTATGGGATGGATTACACAAACAAATGGATTGGAAGTATAACTCACTGTTGATTCCCCTGATGGGTACTGATTTTTTCACTTCGGGGAAGGATAATATTTCCGGGAAATGGTTTAAGGATGTAGATGCACGCTTGGGGGATATAGTAGTTAAGGGGGAGTTGGGCACTTTTCAAGCTTTAAAGAGTAAAAAAGAGATATTTGTAGCATTAGATGAATTGAGATATTACCAATTAAGACATTTTGTTTTGAAGTTCCCCCAACCCCTGAGGATGGCAGAGGACATGCTCCTGTTCGAAAAGATGTTGTATGACTCCAAAACATCTAAGATCTTTACTGAATTGAGGGGGGCAGGTCCTCCTCTGTTCTTAGGGAATTTGGGAAGGGAACTGAGAACAAAAATGAATGAATCACAGAAGAATAAAATGTTTAAATTAACACATGGGGTGATGAATATGAACACAGTTGAAATGAATTATAAATGTTTAGCGAGATGGTATTTGACACCGAGTGTTGCACATAGACAATGAATAGAAGTCTCACCGCTTTGTTGGAGGGAATGTGGAGCTAAGGGAATAATGGCTCATATATGGTGGGATTGTCCAAAAATACAGGGGTATTGACAAGATATAATCGAATTTATACAAGAGATATTGGGCTCAATCATACAGAAGGATCCGTGGGTGTGTTTATTCTATAGGTCAGATGTACCGGTGAAGCAGTATAAAAATAGTGTATTATACCATCTAATTAGCGCTGCTAAAGGGCTTATTCCCAAATTTTGGCAGGTACAGTAGCCTCCAACAATGAGGGACTGGTTAGAGAAGGTGGACAATATAAACAAGATGGAGGAGTTATACCATATAGACATAGGTAAAATAGAAAAATTTAGAAAGGAATGGGGGAGGTGGTTTGACTTCAAGACATTCGGAAAATATATGGAAGTAGTGGGTGGCCCAGTGATCTGATCCGTGGAAGGAGTTTTAAAGGGAATCTCTTGTATGACCGTAGCAAATAGGAAAATGGAAAAGAGAGGTTGGAGGGAAAGAAAGAATAACAGGAAAAAGGAGTAGGAAGAGAGAGAATTGAGGAGACAGGGTATAGACATGAACTGGATTGTTGCAGAGATATGGACTGGGGTTGGTTGTGTGGAGAGTGGGAATGTGGGAAGAGGGGAGGTTGGGATGGGAGATTTAGGATAATTGCTTGTACTTTAGAAGTAAATGTTATAGGATTGTGTTTTTGTAATGAAAAATTTAATAAAAGATATATAAAAAGTGTAAAATAAAAAAAAAAACTCACACACAAGCAAATTTGTAGCAACAGGTACAACTCAGTTGCTGAGTGATTGGACCTAGCTACAGAATCTCTTCCACAGTTATTCATGTTATCCAATGAATGTCACAATGCAGTTGCATAGAGCAGTACAGGCTGTCCCCAGGTTACGAACAAGATAGGTTTTGTAGGTTTGTTCTTAAATTGAATTTGTATGCAAGTTGGAACAGGTAAATTTTTTAGGTGTAACTCCAGCCAAAGAATTGTTTTTAAGTTTTGGATAGCATAGGGAAGGGTTAACTGGCCATGCAGTGATGTGTGATTCCTGATGGGTCTGTTGGACAGTAAGTAGCAGCATGCGGTGAGCAACAAGATGGCTGTCCTGCGGTTTCTGGGACCAACATGACATCACGCTGCCTCCGTTCTCAAGTATGAGTCAGATGTTTGTAACTCAGGGACTGTCTGTATTGTATCCAGCTATAGCAGCAACTGTAGCTATGAATGCACAGTGAAAATAATCACAGATATTTCCATATGCTACAAATCTCTGCTACAGATTTGCTTGTGTAATAGCGCTATCTTGGATCAGTTTTGGATCACTTTAAAGCAAGCATAAAAGCTGTAGTAGTGGCATTAGCAGCATAAAAGTAGTTGGTGGGATTTTCAAGGCATCACAAGATTGTCTTTGGTTAATAGCAATAGAGCATTGAAGGCTTAACTGAGCTTCTGTTCTGTGGTCAGTGTAACTAGTGTACATATAGTAATTAAAGGATGTAAGGGGTGCAGAGGTAAAATCTCTGACTAAGGTGGTAGAGACACACTCTTGTATTTGGGCATTCTTTTCCTGCATTTGATGTGCATTTGAAAAGCAAGTCAAACATAGCTCAGCCAATTGACTTTATTGGAACAATACACCTGACCATTCAGAGTCTGCTTTTGACCTGCTTTGCATTTTTTTGCAGCTTGTTCTATTGAGGTGTGTTTAAACTGCAACAAAAGGTCAGATGCAGCCTTTCTTTTTTGTTGGGTGCTTTATTTTCCATTTGAATACATGTAACTACCTTTAAATGGAAATAGCTGGATTTGACAAAATTGCCTGTCAACATTAGTGCAAACACGACTTCTGCATCAGTTTGATTTTGATTTTGGGGCAGTAGAGCTGAAAGTACCTAAAAAAGTTTACAATGATTTTGTTTTATTTTCCATTTTAGGTACAGAAGTTTAAAGCACTTTAACTATGACATCTGCCAAAGCTGCTTCTTTTCCGGCCGTGTTGCAAAAGGTCACAAAATGCACTATCCAATGGTGGGAATATTGCACTCCTGTAAGTTCCCATATCATATAAATGAATCTTATGAAACAATGAAAAAATTGTAAAGTAATCAAATAATCCGTTTACACCAGACTGATTGAACCTGTCTACCTGATACTGTGAATGGCAGATTTGGTATCTTACAGCACTGGAAATCTGGTCTTCAGTATGGTGCTTACATTAGGGAGGGTTAGTGTGAAGGGGGTGTACTTTAGTGTCAATTGCTAATGTACTGACCCGCATAACTGGATGATAATCTGTTGTTTGAAAAAGATTTGAATAACATTACACAAAATGTTAAAATATTTTATGCAAAGGTTTTCATTCATGTATTATGATCAATTTCAGGGTTATACATAGTTGCCAAGTGCACTGTCATGTTTCCCCCTACTCATGAGAACAAATGTTTACATTTTTCAGTTATTGACTGATCTATTCACACCAGAAAAGGTGGGATTCCTGACCTACTTACTAGTTTCTATATCAGTGACTCACTTAATAATGAAGCAGGGATTATACCAACAATGATAAGGATTGAAAAAACAAACTGGGTATTGTTGGCACACTTAAGGTATCACTAAAGGCAACATTTTTGTTTGTTTTAGTTTTGTACAGAGTGGAGAGTAATTAGAACTAGGTTTTTATTGCTACCTGTGTCCCTGTTAAATTCATCCTCTTTATTTGTCCTGGTTACCATTCTCATTGAAAGTAAAAGGAAATCCCAAAGTAATAGTGGGGAAAACGTTCAATGGGGACACTAGTTCTGATGACCTAGGGGGGGCCCCCAGAGATTCCCTTAAATTTCATGAATTTCCTCCTACTTTCTGTTTTGGCTTTGGGACAGGAAGTAAAGGGAAATCTCCCCAACAGGCAGCAAATGGCTAAAATAAATCTTTCAGTCGTTATAACTCTCTTCTTTATTGTAAATGAAAAAAAAAAAAAACATTTTGCCTGTACTTCTAATTTAATATATAACACTAATGTGAATTCTTACTTTTTAATTGACTGCAGTTTGTTGTCTTTTTTTTGTTTATACACATTCCCTGGAATTCATAAAGAGTGTCAAAGACCCTTTACGACACCAGTGCGCCTCCACACGATAAATGTCGGTGTGGGCGACAGATTAATGTACCTGTTGTACACAGGGATTGGGAAGGGGGAGGGACTGCGGGGCAGAACCTGATGGGGATTTACAGGCACTAGTCCTACACTGCCTACTGTCACTTACAAGATGAGTACAGGCTTGATGGGGAAATAGTGTCTTGGCTCCCCATCAGGTTCCACCAACTGCAGTATCATATTAGGAGGCCATTTGCTGTGAACCCAACAGTGTCCTTAAAAATAATTGACTCTGCTACACTGCGTAGAGGGGCATGCACTTTGGCTGCCTCTGTACCCCAATTAACAGCAGCGGGAGCCATTGGCTATCAATCTGCCCTGTGAGGAGGGAGAGAAAGGAGTGAGCCGCTGCTCTCATGCACAGCGCTGGTTTGTGATCGAGCTTAGGAAAGTATAAGGGGGGGCGGGGGGGGGGGGGATTTTGTTGTACAAATGGTGTTGGTTTTTGTTTTGTTTTTTTAAATGCAAAGCCTGCATTAAGCTAAAAAACCTTGAGGCTTTAGAATCACTTAAAAGCAAAACTTTGTTTTTGGAAAGACTGGAGATGGATTAGAACACCTATTAATTTATTATTGCTACCTCTGCCCCCATTTATCCTCTCTATTTGTTATGTTTACCATTATCATTGAAAGTTAAAGTAAATCCCACATTTTGGGTTGTCCCCAGTGATAGAGTAGGCACTAGTTCTGGTGACCTAGGGGGCACCAAGGGATTCCCTTAATTTCGCTATGGGACACTAAGTGAAGGTAAATCTCCCAAATCAAACACAGATATCACAAAATAAACTGACAGAGGTTGTAACCCTCCCCAACTCTATCCAAAAGGAGAAAAAAAATATTTGCCTATAGTTCTACTATAAGTACTGAATCTATCAGTGTGCCTTGCAAATGCTTTTTGGTTGGCTCACAAAATAGCTGTGGACTTGTGGCTTTTACTACCTAGCATTACAACTCTTGAATTCTACCATGTAAAACATTTACATTACAGTACATTTAAAATCCTGTACTGTAGGTTTTAAATCATTCACATTAAACTATAGTATGTTTGCCTAAAAGAGCTTGTGCAGCTATTAACATGAATGAACCTTTCTTCGCTGAATGTGACATGAATAGCTAAAGAAAAAATGTAGTTGCCAAGCTCTTTGTTTTGGTTGATGTTTTTGGCTTCCATAAACCTCAGTCCCTGACTGAGTTTAGCTTTGAACTTAAAAGCAAAATAGAAGGAACTAAGAAATGCTAAATCTCATTGTAAGCCACAAAATAAAAGCAGTTGCCAAATACTTTCCTGTAAAACATTTAATACCTGAGTGCCGATTCTCTCGAAGAGAATGCTTAGCTGAATTTTAAAGCCATTGATGGATGCGTTTTCTTTTTGACACCATTACTTCACAGCTTCTGTATCCTTCTCAAGGCAAAACCACGCTTTTCACCTTACTTTTTAATTCATGCTATTAAGTCTCACTTTCACAAAGAAATGTATTTGTCTACTTTCAGACTACATCTGGAGAAGATGTACGTGACTTTGCAAAGGTTTTAAAGAATAAATTCAGGACAAAACGATACTTTGCTAAGCACCCAAGGATGGGTTATCTGCCTGTTCAGACTGTCCTAGAAGGAGACAACATGGAGACGTGAGTACACTCTACTGGACCTGCAAATACTGTTGTCATTTCCCTCCTCCCAGTTCTGCTTTTTTTTTTTTTTTTCTTTTTTTCCGTTAAAACTTTTCATTCTTTGTGGAATGTATCTTGGCTGTAGGAAACAAGCTGATGTGTTTAGAAATTATGCAGTAATACGTACACCTGCATAAAACACAGCATCAAAGTAGCAAATCTATCCACAAATATTAAGGTATAGCAAGAATCTAAAATGCTAATTTTATTCAAAGTGGACTTTTCAGGAAAAATGGGCATTTGGCATAAATCACTAACTGCAACATTATATGGGGCAACATTCTACTGTGCACAGAGGACTATCAATAATCAAGCTAATGTAAACAGCAGCATGTGTCTACTGTGCTTCAACCTGCCTGAAATGGCTGTTAGTGTAATACAGAAAGTCTGTTATTTTTATCCAGGTCATGGTATAGCTAGTAGTAATTAGTTGCATTCAGCTGGATTGTAACTGTATTACAAAACAAGTGTGGTTGAATGTGACAAACTACTACTATCTTATGTAATACGATAGGTTGAACTAACAACGCAAAAGGCAGTATCTCAAGTTCTGGGAAATGTTAACTGGAATCTCTAAGGATAGAAATAGGAGAGCTACCATAGCTGACTTTCATTCATGACTATTATCTCTACCCTTCCATCACTGCTTATTAAGTCATTGGCCCAAAACAAGTTTGTACATATCAGGCGTCAAATTGTGAAGGAAGAATGAAGATGATAGGCCTGGAACATGTACCTTTAACAACAAGTCAATATATGGAATCTTTTCTATATCTATCTTGACAGGTGCCTTTTAAATAAATATGTATGAATATGTCCTTATGTAACCTGTTATGTTAATTGTACAGGACACAGGATAGGAAGCCATAGATCATGGTTTATATGACACTACCTTAATGGACGATGGCAAATGCTTTGCTTGGAGCAGCCTCAATACATCCTTATAAAATCCACCCACTCCGTGGTGTCTTTAGGTGATCGACATCTCTTACAGAAAGTTTTCTAAACCATTCTTTTTTTATTTTATTTACTATTTTGGCTGACAGTTCTATCAAAATCTAGCTGCTTATTGCCTCATGGATCACTAGCATTTTTTGTTAACCTGGCATCCCAGACCCCAAGCAGTGGGACCCCTTTTAGGTGCAATGCCCAATGCAATGAGTAGTTAGACGCAGTTTGCTCTATAGGACCAGGGCTGTGGTAAATTCCTATGGCACCCAGCCCCAAAGACCCCTTAGGTATGCCCAATGCGAGGGGTGAAATTTTGTGCTGTATGGAATCTTGCAGTATGTATACAGGGCCAGGGCAATGGGTGGGCATAAGGGACACTTGCCCTGGGCGTCCCAATCTGTGGTAAGGGGGGTGCACTTGAAGCTTCGCTCACTTCTTTCTCACTGACATGAGTGTCCGTGCCTTATATTCACTGCACAATGTACTGATTCCCTGACTTCTTCGTTGCAGCCACTTCAACTCTGCCTTATCTTTGCTATTCAGCTATTAATCATTCTCTTCCAGCAAGCTGCACTCTTGCCCTCAACCAGGGGCGGACTGACCATTTGGAAACTCGGGCACTGGGTCAGTAGGGGGCCCCATGAGATGCCCCTAGTACCTTTTTCATAGGCTTTTTTCGAGTTTGGGCAAGGACACAGGGGCCCCATGATCCCCTATTGCCTGGGGGCACCATGAGTTGTCAGTCTGCCCCTGCCCTCAACTTTCTCTCCTTTCTCGGGCCACTTCACTTTTTTTCCTCTGTCATTCTCATTTTGTCCAGCTCATCTCTCACTCTCCAACCTTGTCTATATCTCTCTCTACCTTTCCTGCACAATCGTACATTAAGTCAGCACCGATCCTCCTTGCTCCTCTCACCTGTTCATTGTTCCCTTCGTCTTCTCCTACCTCCACTCCCTCTCCATAAATCTGCACTATACACATCTTGTAGCCTCCAGCCTCAGCTCTGGGTGCTCTTTCTGACACCCTCTCATCCCAGTTTGCTTTTATCTCTTCCAACTGTCCTGTCCCCGTCATGCAACCTAGCTGATTCTTGGCACTCTGCTGTTCATTAACACATACTCTTACTCCTGCAGCCACCTCATCTATTCACTCTTTTCTTATCCCAAATAGTGGGTTTACACTGGTGAGCTGTGTTTTGACTGCATTGCAATTGTATGTGTGCTTCCATTTAATTCTATTAGACTGTAGGTTTTTATGGAAGCACATTAAAGTCCTGTATGCCACATCTTTGTAACCTCTCCCCAATCAGGCTAGGTTCACATCTTTTGTATGTCAGGAACTTGTGGTTTTCCTGACAAACACAGAAACACATTGCTTTAGTATATGCACGTCTGTGCCGTTAATTGCACCCCCACACATCTGCTAACATACATTTTCACCTATAGTGAGCCACATTGTGCCGCAACGTTTGGTGCAGAACTTTTTTAGAAAAGGGTCATGGACTACCACATTTCTTGAAGGCGGCTCATTGAGCAAAACACACATGCACACCCAGTCACACCTGTAGGTGTGAACCTAGCCTGAGTTTTTTTTTTTTTGTTGTTTTTATAGATTCTAATTCAAATGTTATCACCCACAGTCTTTATCAAGCTTAACACAGGTCTTTAGTGAATTCTGCCATGATTCCATTAACATTGACTGTACTTAAATGGGTCATGTTCAGTGGGCAGTATTGCCCACGAAACATGACGAATGGATAATTTTCATACCCTGATACGGCTGCCTTTGTAGCGTAAAGGGATGGTGACAGTAAAGCTATAGCTCAACCACCTGTTTTTTTACAACACCCATCCTGACCACAAGTGTAAGCAATGGCTTATGGCTCATTCACACAGGTGGGTGGGTAGGGACGTAAAAGCAGGTCACTTCACTTTGTGCCCCATCTGCCCACCTGAGTAAGAAGATGCTGCCACTCAGGGCTGTGCACATGGCAAAATTAAAATGGCATGCACAAGCACGGTAGGTCTGCATTTTCAGGGTTAAAACGGGTAGCAACATTTGCCCCCCTCACTACCTGTCAAACATCAGCAATGATAGCCACATGTCTGAACAAATAAGATAAACATAGGAATGCACTTATGGAATACTCATATAATGTTTCACACTGTAAATGAATCAGAAAAATGTCCATCACATCATAAAATAAAAAATATATATCAATAAAAACTAATAAAAAATGAAAAAATGTGTGTCCAAATAATTGTGTAAATAAAGTCCAAAAAGAAATTTGTGATAATCATAAATCAATGTGAAAATCCGTGTTCAACAAAATCACCGTGACTGAATCCATCACCAAATAAATTGAATAAACTCACCAGAGCTATATGCTGATCAAGTTATAAACCAGCATAAGCGCTATTGCTCTGGGAGCGATGCTCTGTAGAAATTCAAAAATGGTCTGGGAACAATACTCTGCAGGAGGACACTCATATGTAATCACTGGAATCACTCATATGTATGGTCACCGTCTCTTCATATGGTAATAGCAGTACTCGGGAAATTAAGAGAGGAAATTCATGGTGCAGTACGTATAAAACCACATATTTTTTTTAAAACAAGGTAATACACTCACAAACAAGGTGTCCCAGCCGATACCAGCAAAAACAGCGTTCAAATAAAACCCAAACGAACTCAGTTTGCCGCGGCTCATGTACCGCCGACAGCCTCGGGAAACGTCTTGAGAGACGTTTCCCGAGGCTGTCGGAGGTACACGAACCGCGGCAAGCTGGGTTCGCTTGGGTTTTATCTGAATGCTGTTTTTGCTGGTATCGGCTGACACCTTGTTTGTGAGTGTATTACCTTGTTTTAATAAAAAAATATGTGGTTTTATACATACTGCACCATGAATTTCCTCTCTTAATTTCCCGAGTACTGCTATTACCATATGAAGAGACGGTGACCATACATATGAGTGACCATACATATGAGTGATTCCATTTGTGCTGAGTGTCCTCCTGCAGAGTATTGCTCCCACCAATTTTTGAATTTCTACAGAGCATCACTCCCAGAGCAATAGCGCTTATGCCGGTTTATAATTTGATCAGCATATAGCTCTGGTGAGTTTATTCAATTTATTTGGTGATGGATTCAGTCACGGTGATTTTCACACGGATTTTCACATTGATGTATGATTATCACGAATTTCTCTTTGGACTTTATTTACACAATTATTTGGACACACATTTTTTTTTTTATTAGTTTTTATTGATATATATTTTTTATTTTATGATGTGATGGACATTTTTTCTGATTTATTTACAGTGAAACATTATGAGTATTCCATAAGTGCATTCCTATGTTTATCTTAATTATGTTTTTTGGGTTAGGTTTGCAGCTTTTATAGTTTGTTTATTTTGTAAGATTTTTTTTTGGCGCTGTTCTTATAGAATTTCTTAAACATGTCTGAACAAGCCCTTAAACCTTTCAGCCCCTCTTTCTCCCTTTATTTCCATGCACCCTCCCCTCCTTCATCCCACTGACATAGATGCGAATCGGTCATCCTCAGACTGACACCAACTACATAGCAGCATATTTTCCTCCCAGTGATACCATCAACACAGGGACGTTTTTCCCTTTCAGTGACTCCACAGATGCAGGGACAATTTTCCCAAGGGACATCACCACTGCTGAGACATATTTCCTTCCATCGACACCACCAATGCAAGAATGTTTTTCCCTTCAAGTAACTTCTCGTCACGGACATTTTTCCTTCCAGTGACACAACTGACGACTGCCCCATACATGTGCATCAATTTTAAACTTTTTAGTTTGCTGCAGTGCAACACCGTCGTAAGTACTATTTCAGTGAATGTTACAAACATTACAGACCTTTCACCACTATTGGCCCAAACCCAGAGTGGGGGGGCATAGTTTGTCATCTTCACCCTTGTCCTGGCACTGCATGAATAGACAGGATTTCCTTTAATTTCCTTCATGACGGGTGTCCT